ACAGGGTTGTATTCACTTCCCAGGCCAGCAAGTATATAGAGTATGTGATTTTGGTTAGACGCGGGTTCACTTGCTATTCCAAAAGCGTCACAACATGCTTTAACTTCCCTAGAAACTCCCTCATGGAGCTTCAGCCTTTCTTCAAGGTTTGGAGTTGCAACTTATAATGCATGATACGAGCCTTTGAGAGACCAGAGAAATTGGCCTGCAAGGAGAGCCACACATCCTTTGATGTATTCTTGCCAATCATCATAATGAGAAGGTTTTTGCTCAAGGAAGAAAGAAGCCAGGACAAGAGGAGCTGATCTTGTCTTACCCATGTTGCATATGCTGGATTGAGAGTTCGGTGAGATGTGGCCTCAGAGGTGATGAACTTTTGTGGTGGCTCACAGTTAGCTGCAATAAAATTTACAATCCATAGCGGATGATAGCACTGTAGGTCTGCTGCCTCCAAAGGAGATAATTAGTGTTTGTGAGTTTGATGGAGATGAGCTGATGTAGAGGTTGAATAAAAAGGGGTGTGGTGGGTAGAAGAGGGATGCTTGTACTGTCTAATGAGGCTTGAGACGCCATCATAGAGATAAAACAGTAGATCTACTGAGGGTGAGCTTAAGAACAAAAAAATGAAAACACGAGCCAGCTGCGAGATCTGAGTTAAGAATTGGGTAAAAAGAAGATACCAATGGATCATCAATGCTAGCTCTTGATACCATGTTAGGAAAGTTGAAAATCAGATCTGAGAAACACAGATAAGAAAGAGATGTGATAGAAAATGCATTAAGTGTGATCATCCATTTTCATCAAAGTGAGTACACTTGCTTTTCATAGTCTCATATCCCTGGGGTTCCATATGAGGTAAGGTATATATAGTAGCATGTGCTTGATCCAATGGCCTCTATTCAATATTCCCTATCTACATCATTGAGTTTACTTATTTCCCATGTGCATTCTTCCTGGTGATGTGGCCGAGACTTGACTTGACTTCCTTCTACCATGTATTGTTCTTTTTGTTGACGTGGACGAGATACTTTGTCATCTTGCACCTTTATACTTGCATGTGAAGCCTGTGAGCTTGCATGAGATCCATGTATGCTATCATGCGAGTCTTGCTGAGTATAGAGGTTGATCAAGGGTGGCAGAAGGTGATTGTTTATCTTGAAGATGAAGTTTTGGCTAAGTCACTCAATGCAAAAGACGTGTTTGATTTTGATGTTTGTGTGTTAGTTGTAGGTGTGATATGTTGTTTGTTTCTTGTTCTTTTTTGTTTAGTTTCTTGTAATTCTTAGTGTTGTTTTGTTGTGTTTTTAGTTTGTGATTTTTTGGGCGAGGTAGTCTTTCTAGGGAAATTCTTCTTAGTTGTTCTTACAAACGGGGGTTGACGGGTGCGGTCCCACGGACGAAGCGTACCAAATCAGGGAAGCCCAAGTGAGGTTCCATCCAAAACCAATTGGTGGTAGGAGGAGTAGCCCACTAGGCTTATAAGTTAGGTCTATTTCCCCTGTATAGACGATGTGGGACAATTCACAAGTGTATATTCTAACATCCCCCTCACTTGTGAGTCCTTCGGAAGCCCAAGCTAAACTAGGCTGGGTGACGGGTACGTCATTGCACGGTCCCACATAGGCCCAAGCCCAACTAGGCTGGGTGAACCGGCTCTGATACCATGACAAAACAGGGTTGACGGGTGCGGTCCCACGGACGAAGCGCACCAAATCAGAGAAGCCCAAATGAAGCCCAAGTGAGGTTCCATCCCAAAACCAATTGGTGGTAGGAGTAGTAGCCCACTAGGCTTATAAGTTAGGTATATTTCCCTTGTATAGACAATGTGAGACAACTCACAAGTGTATATTCTAACATCCCCTCACTTGTGAGTTCTTCGGAAGTCCAAGCACAACTAGGCTGGGTGACGGGTACGTTATTGCACGGTCCCACGAAGGCCCAAGCCCAACTGGGCTGGGTGAACCAGCTCTGATACCATGACAAACGGGAGTTGACGGGTGCGGTCCCACGGACGAAACGCACCAAATCAGGGAAGCCCAAATGAATCCCAAGTGAGGTTCCATCCCAAAACCAATTGGTGGTAAGAGGAGTAGCCCACTAGGCTTATAAGTTAGACCTATTTTCCCTGTATAGACGATGTGGGACAACTCACAAGTGTATATTCTAACATGTTCCTCTCTTTTGGTCCCTTTATGAGATTGTTCTCGAGAGAAGGCTGGTGGTAATCTGTTGATTGTCGAACATTGTACTTTGTGAGAGTTTTTATTGAAGTTTATGTTGAAAAAAAAAATAAAAAAATATACAGCATTATAACCTGATCCAAGTCAGTATGGTATATTTATATGAGGAACCATCAATGAATCAGCCTAGAGGAAAACGAAGAAAAAATTATTACAGGACTGTTGGCATATTTTTAGAAGCAATAAAGTTTCTGATATGGGTAGGTATAAAATGTATTAATAATAATGAGATTTTGATAGGTAGGAAATATTCAATTCAATGAGGAAAGTTAGTGGGGATTTGGTCCAACTCTGTTCTACGCAGTTGCGTGCCCAAGCAAATTGGCCGCTCATTAGCAGTTCTTAATCCACCTTATTTATTGTCACCCCCACCGGCCATTTATTATTCTTCCACCAGCTCCATTTTTGTTATTATTATTATTATTATTAAAATGAAATTGTACTCTTTTACGTAATTTGTGGATTATTTTCAACAAATTTCAAATGACCAATTTTTAATTATGGCACGAAAAATAAATTAATTTTATGTACTAATATTTGAAAATAAAATCAAGCATTTTGCATCATTTGAGGATTATTTTTCAGATATATTTGGATTTGAAATTATTTTCGTATTACTCTCGATTGTAATTGCGGCAACTATGAAACATGGAACTTGAAAAGAATGAACGACTTTGTTTCCTAATTATCATTTGGAAACATACCTTATCAATCTTCTCCTTTATTTGCAGTCATCAAAATTCAATTTTTTATACAAACCGTGATTTTTGTAATAAAAAAAAAAAAAAAAAAAAAATCCTATGCAATATAAAACTGATTAGAGATGTTAAACGAGTTAGCCCTAGCAGTTTCGGAAAGCTCTAACGGCTTCGGGCTAAACCGTTCGGGATGCCATATTTTTTTTCTTTGAAAGCATGCATGGTAAAATAATTGTTTTTAGTTTTAGAAAAGTGAGATAAAAGTTTACATTGTTTGTTATAACCTTCTAGATGTCAATTAAAAATAAATCCATTTAATTATATTTTAAAAAATCATACTTTTGACGTAAAAAAATATTATTTGTAGGCAAATTTGTCATAATATCATGACCTTTATCGAAATTGCAATTCAATCATGACCTTTTCACTTTTACAAATTAGATATTTTAAAAATAGTAATAATATTTCTCTCACCTCTCTCTAGGATGTGAAAGAGAATGTGGATGAACCACATTCTTCTCTACATTGTATACATTTAATATGTCCACCTTATCACTACATTTGTGTTAATTTTGTGCATTTGAGGATTAAAAATAGAGAAATGACTAAATTTGTTAATATAGAGTGTAATTTACTACAACTACATTTGAGCATTGGAGATGCTTTTAGTTTGTTGCAAATAGTCTGAAAATAGCCATACAAAAGCTGATGTGGTCGAACAACAAACTAAAGATTGTGATATAGTTTGCACGGGATATGCAAATCGGTGCACCAGTTTACAACAAATGAAGATTGTGATATAATTTGCAAAAGTGAAAAACTCGTGATTAAATTACAATTTCAAAAAAGGTCATGATATTAAGGGAAATTTTGCCTTATTTGTAAGATATTATTTTTAATTCATTAAGTATGTTTTTCAAAACCATGCCTATATAAATAATATATTCTTTTATAAGATATTGTAAAGCATTGAAATTTTTTAATGTCAAACATAATTCAAATTTAAATACGAGATAATGTCTCAAATATAACTTATATTTAAAGGTGAGATAACATATATTTTCATATTACGAATATCTCACACATATTTCCATCGTTAGATTATTTAAAATTGAATATGAATGTCTGTAAAATATGACTTAAAACTTAAATATGAAATAATATTTATATTCAAAAAACGAATATCTCTCGTATATCTCACTCTTTCCGTATTTAAATTTCAATATATCCACGATCATAAGTATTTTATTGACAGTGTTAGATGATTTAAATTTAAATATGAGATTATACAGAAATTCTATGGAACCATCGGATGACTCCATTATGGAGCCATCTATAACTTTATGTACATGGCACATATCCAATATGTATTTAATGCAAGACACGTGCCACCATTTGTGAGTAACTATAGATGACTCCATAAGCCGAGCCATCCAATGGCTCCATAGCAAAAATGTTATATTATATATAATATTTCTATAAACGGTCATGTTTTAGAGAACTTCTCTTATGAGATAATATCTATCTTACGCTAATAAAAGATATTGCATTTTAGAGAATTTTCCATTTATTAATGTATAAAAATTATATTTATATATTGGAGTTGTTATTATACGATACATATATAAACAATAACATAGAATAATTTAAGCGTTTTTAGACAATTTTTTCTAATAATAGTATAGAAATTTTGAGATGATTTCACACATCTGTCAAGAATTATGTAATATTGTAAGTATTTCTACACATGTTAATGTAAATTTTTAGGTGCTTTTAATATTTTATATAGACATTTTTTATGTATTTTTGCACCAGTTATTATGTAGCATATTCGATAAATTAATTTAGGTAAATTGTTTCACATAATAACTTTATATATTTAGTTTATAAATATTATTTAATATTGGTTACTCATGCATCGCACAGAATTCGTACTATTTTAGTAACTAAAAGATTTTGGTGATAAACAATCACCATATTTGTACTAAAGTTGTAGGGGATAGGCGTGCAGGACTGCTGGGGATTAACGACTCGGCCTTGAATGAGTTATCCTTATCTGAAAATGAAGCGGGTGAAATAGAGCTGGAGACTGAAGATATTAGATACAGTGAAGAGGAGTGTAATAGAAGTCTGTTCGGTAAAGTTGTAGGGGATAGACGTGCAGGACTGCTGGGGATAGAAGAGGAGTGTAATGAGTTATCCTTCGGATTTTCAATTATTTTATTTTATCCGAAGACCAAATCCTCGAGTTTCATCATTTTGCATCTATGTATGAGATAACTCTTGAAGTCGTTCCACAAAGGAGACAACTTTTCAGCAATAACAACCACTTGGAAGGCTTCATTCACAATCAATCCCTCGACCAACATATCATGAAGGATGATTTGAATTTCTTGAAATTAATTAACCACTAACTTTGTATCAATCATATCATACTTAAGGAATTTATGGACAAAAATTTTAGTGTCGTTATCTTTCACTTTGTACGTTGCTTCCAAAGAGTTCCATAATTCCTTAGACTACTTAACTGGGCTACAAACATTATATAGTATGTTATCTAGTCCGTTAAGTATTAGATTTCTACACAAGAAATCATTGTGATGCCAAGCATCCGAGGCCGTACGCTTTTGCATGTCAGTTCACTTTCAGGGACGATCAAATGGTCATCCGAAAGAAAACAAGAGAGGGAGAGAGTTGTGAGGTAGAAAAGCATCTTTTGTTGCCACCTCTTGAAATCAGAGCCATTGAACTTCGGCGGTCTCTCGCCTTGGACGGGAGCAGCTACCATCGGTTGAGCACTTGAAGAAGACATTTATTTCCTCCGGTTGCCATCTTATGAACTCACAAAATTTCGTCTTAAGATTGTTGTTTGTATGATTTGTGAATATCAAAAAGACGGCTTAAGGAGAATGAAGAAAATGAAGCAAAAATCAAATTCGAGGCACGTAATAATTACGTTCTCCTTAAGACGAAATTGCCACGTAAAATACCCACGCTTCACGGCAAACACCTCCAAGATACAACGACTTTTGACTTGTATATAGCGGTACTTCAAATATACAAGCCTTTGGCGAACAATACTATTTTTTGGAACTCTGAAGACACAACGAAAAAATCAAAGAATATAATATGTTTTATGAACTTTGAAAATAAAATGTAAGAGCTCTTGAAAATTTGATGTCAATGACTATTTCACTTCATGGGTATTTATAGATGTTATAACACATCTCCAGGGGGTTCAAGGCATCAAAAGATACCTTTTGGGAAGTGCTTGGTCGATTAAAACCGATTAGAAACCATTCTGGTACGAACAGATGCGTCAGCATCGCGAGCTTGTCGCGCCCGCAACGTCATGTCGAGTTCTGCAGATGCTCCGGAAGAAGGACTATCGTACCCGCGCTGGTCGACGCGCCCGCCCTGGTCATTGCGCCCGCGATGGGGCCTGGCACGCAGGTGCACTCCGGGAGCTGGTACGCGTTCGTTCGGACTCAGGATTTAGTTCTGCTTTTTCCTACTTGTCCCCAACGAGCCCTTCTACAATTCTAGCATACATAATTCTTGATTATGGCTCGTTTAATTTTTTCAAACATTTGTTAAAATATAATGTTTGTGAATCCTACAACCTTTGAGTTACTTAAACTCAATTATTCAACATATAACACTTAGAGTTAATTTCTCATTCACCTTAAAATGGTTTTGAGAATTTCCTAAGTCTTCCACTTACGGAAAATGGAATCGTTGAATCGGTACAACACCAATTTTTCCTTACACATAACAGATAAGTACAAATATAATTAGGATGAGAAGGACACATGTGTAACAGAATTAGGCAGTCCGAGCACTCGATCAGGAAGTATAATCGGGTAATTTGAGCAATCAGGCAACGAGATCAGGCAAATCTTAGGCAAAAATGTAACATCTCTATCTTTATGTATGATCATTATAAGTTTACTCATTCTGAATATTCTAGACTTACATACACTATTTACGTCAGAGCTTCTACGCCATGACAATATTCGGCGTTGTTTTTGCAGGTAATTTCAATTGTTCAATGATAGTTTGAGGGACGTTTAATAGCATATATGAAGACTTAGTCAATTTTCTATTTCATCTTCTTTATTTCTTTCCTCATTTAGACGTATGCATGCTTTTCTCATGCACATGTGGCTTTACCTCTTTCATGCATAGCTTGTCTTCTTCTTGCTTTATGTCTCAGCCATTGATCTTCATCCTAAGGTCAGTATACTTTCAGAATTTTGTATTTAAGACATAGTTGTTCCCTTTCTAGGGTTTATCAATTCCACATTGGTTTGAGCTGCTGTATTGCTTTTTCGTTTTTCTCAAGTGTTGCAGAATCTGTGATTGTGTGTTCTTGATAATGGCGATTGATGTATGCCATTATGGTATCAGAGCGGGTTGATCTTGACCTGTCTCTATACCTAATCTGATTTCATTCCTTTTTAGATCTATAGTCTCCATCACTCTCTTCCTTCTTGGTTCAGTTTTTCCCTCTTAGCTCAAAATGACAAGTTCATCATCAGACACCTCGAACTTGGACAGTCTTCGTCTGTGATACAACCTCAAGCACAGCTGGTTACCATTAAGCTAGGTGAAAGTAATTATTTGATGTGGAAACATCAAGTCTTAGCCACTGTAAGAGGCTATGGCCTTGAAGGCTTTATTCTCGGGACATCTTCACCACCTGAGAAATTTGTCACTGATGAAAATGGAGTGCAAACCACACTTAACCATCTCTACTTAAGCTGGCAGAAACGAGATCAGTTGTTGGTGTCTTGGCTCTTGAGTTCTCTTTCTGAAGAGATTCTTATCAACACAGTTGGATTAAACACAGCATCTGAGATTTGGGAGTCACTGGAGCTGGACTTCACCACACAATCAAGAGCTAAGGTCATGCAAATCAAATCTCAACTGCATAACTTGAAGAAAGACACACAGACTATGAGGGAGTACTTGAACAAGATTAAGGCCTGTTATGATGCACTGGCGGCTGCTGGAAACTCTTACACTGAAGATGACCATATCTCCTCAATGTTAGATGGTCTAGGGCCTGAATCACTCTGTCTCTGTGTCTATTAATTCAAGAATACCACCTTGCAGTTTAAGAGAAGCTCAGTCACTCTTGTTGACATTTGAGAGCATGATAGAAAGGAACACAACCAACACTCTCAATGGTGATGGCTTTAGAGGCTTTGCAAATATTTCATCTCAGCAGACATCCAAAAGAGGAGGCTTCTCTCCTAACCCCAACACCAGAGGCAGATTTAACCAAGGTAGGGGTGGATATAGAGGAGGCAGATTTGAAAGAAACAACAACTATAGAGGAAGAGGAGGAAGGAGTAGCTTTGTGAGATGCCAGATCTGCCAAAAAGATGGACACACAGCTGATAGGAATTATAGTAGGTTTGACCAATCTTACACCTACTCCCAGAACAACAATTTCAGAACTCAACCTGGTTATCAAAACATGGCCAACATGGCAAATTTGAGCTCTTACAGTGGCAGCACTTATGGAGGATCAGAAAATAGCCAAAGCTTTCAAGACTCTCAATGGCTACCAGACTCAGGAGCAACCAATCACATTACTGTAGACTTGAACAATCTCAACATTGCTACTGAGTATCATGGTGATGACAAGATAGAGATGGGTAATGGAGCAGGTATGACTATCACTCATATTGGTTCATCTAAATTTAAATCTGCTTCCAATAAGAATCATTCCTTTATTCTGAACAATCTCTTGTGTGTGCCTCATATAACCAAGAACCTTTTGAGTGTCTCTCAATTTGCAAAAGATAATGGGGTGTACTTTGATCTTCACCCATTTTTCTGTCTTCTTAAGAACCAAACCACAGGGGAGATACTTCTCAAAGGCAAGCTTATTAATGGTCTTTACTGCTTTGATATGGTGCAAGCTAAGGAAAGTAGAGTTGCAGCTTCTCCTCCTCATTTCAGAAAGTTCAAACCTCAGACTCATTCTGCTTTTCTCAAGAATAAACATAGCTTAGACCTTTGGCACAATAGATTAGGGTATGCTTCCTTTGATATTGTAAAGAGGGCTCTTAAAAGCTGTAATGTTGATTTCTATGACAGTGACAGTAGACCCTTATGTTCCTCTTGTTTCATGGGAAAATTTCATAAACTCCCTTTTGATGATTCTATTACTAATTGCTATGACATTCTTGAGCTTAATTATACTAATTTGTGGGGACCTTGTCCCATTAAATCTTCAACAGGTCACAGTTACTATATTAATTTTGTTGATCATAGAACCAGGTTCACTTGGATATACATCTTAAAATCCAAATCAGATGCTGCAAATGCCTTCATTCACTTTAAAACTCTTGTTGAAAATAGGTTCTCTAAAAAGATTAGAATAGTTCAGAGTGATGGAGGAACTGAATACAAACCACTTTCTGATTTTTTCCATCAAAATGAAATAACTCACAGAATGTCATGCCCTTATACCCCAGAGCAAAATGGCATGGCTGAGAGAAAGCATAGGCACATAGTCAACTCAGGTCTATCTCTTTTAGCTCACTATTTTGTTCCTAAGAGATTTTGGGACCATGCCTTTTCTACTGTTGTATACCTCTTGAATAGAATTCCCAGTAAAGTCCTAATTTCATATCACCTTTTGAAGCCTTAACGGGCTTGAAACCTTCTTATAACCATGTTAAAGTTTTTGGTTGTGCCTGATATCCTTATTTGAAACCGTATAACCTTCACAAACTTGAGTTTAAAAGTCAGAGAAGTGTCTTTTTTGGCTATCATGATCAGTATAAAGGCTACAAGATTCTTTTGCCCAACAAGAAAATAATCATTTCCAGACATGTCACATTTGATGAAACAGTTTTCCCCTTTAAAGAAAAAGTTGACACATTACCTCACTTCAATAATCTTGATTCAGATCACACTATTGCTCCTCTCATCATTTCACCCTCCATTCCACCCCCTCATATCCCTTCTCCTAACCAAAACACACCAGCTCTGTCTTCTCCTTCCACTGTCCCACCTTCACATCATTCTAGTTCACCTCACCTCAACTCACCCCACCACTCTACTTCATCTACTTCTTCTTCATCTCCTAGAATTCCTATTGGGCAGATTTATATTGATTTACCAATTGATGGTGGTAGAAATACCAACAATACACCTCCTGCTGCTCCTAACAATGTTCATGCAGACCATGTTCATCCAATGATTACTCGAGGCAGAGCTGGTATTTCTAAAAAGAAGGTGTTTTCTTGCTCCAAACAATTTGAACATCATGTTGAACCCTCCTCTCTTGATGAAGCTCTTCAAAACAGCAATTGGAGAAAAGCAATGGACACTGAATATCAAGCTTTGCTTGACAATAAAACCTGGATTTTGTCTTCTCTCCCACCAGGCAAGAAAGCCATTGGCTGCAGGTGGGTGTTTAAGCTTAAAAAGAATGCAGATGGATCAGTGGCAAGATTCAAGGCAAGGCTGGTGGCCAAGGTTTTAGCCAAGTGCCTGGTTTGGATTTTATTGGGACCTTTAGTCCTGTGGTCAAGCCTGCTACCATTAGGATAGTTTTATCTATTGCAGTTACCAAGTCTTGGTCCATAAGGTAGGTTGATGTGGACAATGCCTTCTTAAATGGTGACTTAGACACAGCTATATACATGGTGCAGCCTCCAGGTTATGAACAAGGTGATAATTCAGTGTGCTTGCTCAAAAAATCTCTTTATGGCCTCAGACAGGCCTCCAGATCTTGGTTCCTTAAACTTGGCACTATTATTTCTTCTCTTGGTTTCCAAGGCTCTAAGTCAGATAGTTCATTGTTCATTAAGGTTGACAGAAACTCCAACATTTTTATTCTGGCCTATGTTGATGATTTAATTATTACAGGCAATGATGATGTTCAAATTGATCATATCATTTCTGTTCTTCATGGCCATTTTGCTCTCAAAGACTTGGGACCTCTTACATATTTCTTAGGGTTAGAGGTTGAAAGGTCACCTGCTGGGTTGTTTCTCAATCAATCCACTTACATAAAGAATATCCTCAAGAAGGCAGACATGAGCAATTGCAAGGCTCTCAGTACTCCTATGATTTCCTCTCCAGGTTTATCTAAACACCAAGGTCATCCAATTGAAAATGGCACTCTATACAGACAGCTCATTGGTGTTCTTCAATATGCCACTATCACCAGGCCAGAAATTGCCTTTTCAGTGAATAAATGCAGTCAATATATGCAAAATCCCCTTGACTCTCATTGGAAAGCTCTCAAACGGTTGTTAAGGTACCTTAGTGGTTCACTTACTTCTGGCCTCCACATCACAAAGTCTCCTTCATTACAGCTTGTTGCATATGGTGATTCAGATTGGGCTACTGATCTTGATGATCGAAAATCCACCTCTGGTTTCTGTATTTTTCTCGGTGGCAACCTTATTTCATGGAGTAGCAAGAAACAGCAAACTATAGGCCGTTCTAGCACTGAAGCTGAGTGTAGAAGTCTTGCAGCTGCCACTTGTGATATTATTTGGTTGAGAGCACTCCTATCTGAGCTTCACATCCCACAGCTTTCAGCCACAACAGTATGGGTTGATAACTTAGGCTCTGTCTTACTTTCAGCAAATCCAGTACATCATTCAAAAACAAAACATGCTGCCATTGATCTTCATTTTATTCGAGAGCAGGTTCACTTGCACACAATATCGGTTCATCATATTCTTGCTATACATCAAGTGGCTGACATCCTTACCAAGCCTTTGTCTGGTCAATTCTTCACTCGGCTTCGCAATAAACTTTGTGTTAAACCGAAACCCTCGCTTGAATTGAAGGGGGCATAATAGCATATATGAAGACTTAGTCAATTTTCTATTTCATCTTCTTTATTTCTTTCCTCATTTAGACGTATGCATGCTTTTCTCATGCACATGTGGCTTTACCTCTTTCATGCATAGCTCGTCTTCTTCTTGCTTTATGTCTCAGCCATTGATCTTCATCCTAGGGTCAGTATACTTTCAGCATTTTGTATTTAAGACATAGTTGTTCCCTTTCTAGGGTTTATCAATTCCACATTGGTTTGAGCTGTTGTATTGCTTTTTCGTTTTTCTCAAGTGTTGCCAAATCTGTGATTGTGTGTTCTTGATAATGGCGATTGATATATGCCATTAAAGCTAGGCAACCTTTTTGCCAATTGAAATCGTTGAAACGGATTGAGGTGTTTTACACTACCATGACATATTTCCTTTTTAACAATTTAGCCACGCGTATTTATTATCCAAGTGAGATGCTGACACTTTGTCCGGTTTAGATCCTTTGCAATTAACTTAATTATAATCATGTATATGTCAGGGATAACTCTAATTTAGTTCATATGCCACAAGATAATAATTTGTGAATAGATTTTATTTTATATTTTCTGTATATGTTATTATTTTTATGTGACAGTGTATTTTACCTTAATTCAGAACGTGTACAGCCTGACACACAAATAGCATAGTATAAAAGGGAGAAATCCTAGTGGCAGTTTTATATGTTGTCCCAATGAATTTAACGGTGATTAGTTAATTTTAACTTGTTTTTTATGGATCCAACTTCGAAGAACCATGTGCTTACCAATAATAAAAGTTAGATTGATGATAAGATGGAAATAGTATAGCAAAATTCAAAATCACATAGTTTTATTAGTATTTAGTGGAATTAAAAACAATCATATATTTAACACAACAAACCCAATCTAAATCTCAATTTTGTCTTCTCATGGTCATAGTCCTTTCTTTTCTCATGTCTTTAAATTATCTTCAAGAATCCTCAGACAACGATTGGGTTCCATTAAATGTACAAAAGATTGTTGCATGCTGGCCCGCATTGACCATAAATAAACATAACAGACAATATGACGACCCACACTTTCCTCGTAGCACCTAGGTTGACTATAAGAGGTTGAACATATGACTTGAGATCCAAACCAGTATATTAGATGGACGATAAATGTACTTATACGTGTAAAAATGTAAAGGAGAAGGTTTGAAAAAAGTATGATACATCTCTTTTTTGGAAACGTTAAATTAACCATCTCCTTTTATAAATATTACCAGAACATACAATAGTCTTTACTCTTCTTAAAAAAAATTTATATCAAGAAAATATTAATCTAATTACAAATATTAAAGTCTATAGATGAAATTATCCAAGATACGTACATAAAAAGATTATATTTTGAACATGCTAACTTCATAAAAAAAATATGAGGAATACAAATGACCTAATCTATATATATAATTGTTGGCAAACTTCATTGAATTTTATTTAGCGTTCAATTAATAATAATATGAGTTAATTTAATAAAAATAGGTGTTCAAATATGACCTCCATCTAAAAACCGTTACAACATATTTTTTTTCTTTTAATATATTCCATACAATCATCCACCTATCTTTTACTATATTTTGGATTTGTAATGTGGCATGCGATTACCATTTTTAATTTCTCTATATATATTTGGAGAATGTAACTGTTGCATAGTTACGAGATAATGTTTAAACCCTTAAATTTGAATGGTTAAAAATATTTTTTTAGTTTGTATGTTGACTATTCACATGTAAAAGAAGTATTAAGTATTGATATGCTATAGATATAACGCAAAATATATATAAGAAAAGTCATCTTTTGTAATAGAGATCTTTACACCAGCTCATTCAAATTCAAATTTTTCATGCAAGATTGTATACTATATTAGTTGAATTTAATGAAAAATAATTATCCATTTTATTTTATATAATAAATATAGTGATGAATTTGAATACTTTTATGATGTTCATTTTTACTAACGACAAAATTTTTAAAATGTGATACTATTATTTAACTTATTATTTTACAATTGTACACAGACACGTAATTTATAAGTTATAAAAACTTAAATTTTTGTACATGTGCACAGGATCAAATACCAGTCTGGCTAAAATCCGAAGGTTATTTCTACAATTAGTGGCTCATGAATTCCTCCGTACAACTGACTATCAGGCGATTGGAAGATGTTCCGAACTAGCTCTTTTTGATCGGAGCTTGTCGTTCTAAAATTTCAAGCTTCAATTATTCCATTTCTTCTTGGAGTTGCATCTCATCTCAAGTTTTGAATTTTGCTCCTACATAGATTGTTTGAATGGTCTCGTCTTGCTTGAGAGTTTTGCATGATGCGCGTTTGGATCCTTGGCTGCCAGGGGCGGAGCCAAGTGTTACCTTAACTGGGCTGCAGCCCGTATAGAATTCTGTAGAGCCATTTATTACATTCAATGTTTTAGCCTATATCCTAAATAATAAAAAATATAAAAAGAATACACATTATCTTCCCATCATAATTCATAAATCATGTTTCAAGTAATCACTTTAAATAAAGAGAAATGTTATAGGTACATAATATTATACATAGGGGTGTACATAACACTCACATTGAGTGGGACCGACCAAAAATAAAAAATTAAATGGACTCCGCTCTATGTGAGTGTTATGTATACATCTATGTATATTTATTATGTACTTGTAGGATTTTTTTTAAATTAATAATAGTAGTGCTAATGTAGCACCAGCGTATTATAAGGATGCTTATTGATTGAAAATGTAAAAATAAAATAAAAGTTTATTTATTTTACGAAATACTCTTTTTTTATTTATTTAAAATAAAATTCAGTAAACGTAAATTTGTTCGTTCTATAATACAATAATATTTCCAACTTATATCATGTAATAAACATTATAGCACCCGTATATTATTAGAATGTTAATTGAAATTTTATACTTAAGAATGTAAAAATACAATAGAAGTTTTTATTTAAATTATCAAATACGCTTTATTTTTCATTATATGTAAGATTTGTCCTATGTTATAATAATACTTCTAACTTATTTCATATAATAGGCATGATAAATAAATTTAATTAATAATTAATCTAAAGAAGAATAAAGTTGGTTTTTTATTATAATTACTATTATCATAAAAAGTTTAATTTATATGTGATTCTTAATTTTTTTTTTTTAATTTTTTAGCTCTAATAGGGTTTAAATCCTAGCTTTTCCCCTGTCAGTTGCACCTCCCCAAAATTGGTTATACTGGACCATTCAAATCAATGTCGGGCTCAACTCAAAGGTACTTGTTGCAAATTTTTGCCATCCTCTTTAGAGGCGCTACCCTGCCCTCTACACGGACCTACAACTCTCAAAGTTGGGCAGCAACTCTCTCTAGAGTAGCATCCCCAGTTGGACGTGATATGGAAGTGGGTGATGATACCAACCTCATCTCTACCTCTTCTTGTTTTCTCTAGGGTGCTATTGCGACACCACTGGATTTGCTTGGCCAGGTACCCGAGCTCGGGTGATGGCCTCAACCACAATCCTATCTAGCTCTGCGCCCCTGGTGAGTTGAATAATCTAATCTCCCCTAGGGACCTCCTACCCTCTAGGATTCTGCACCTTCCCATCCTCCTTCTCTTAAGGTAGATTGACCTCCAGGTCGGCCTGATGTTGAGACTCGGCTTCCCCCATGACTACATGCTCGTTCACCTCATGCATTCCAATCCCCAACTAGACGACCATCGGTTCCATTCTCGCGGGAGATCTTCATGACCTGTTCAACCCCGGAGTAAAAGTGGTGTGTGGTGCTGGAAACATTATGTTAGGCGTGACATGCTCGCAGGATTGCTTTAACTAACTAGGTGGGGGGCCTGTTTCCAAAGGGAATTGAGAAACCCAATGTTCATCCATGTTTGTCCCCAAATATTTCTTATAACTGTCGCCAGCCATGATGTCTGAACTTCTAAAATAACTTATTGTAAGATACTAAATTAGTTCCTTATCGCCTGTAAAAGACTAGGTGTTCCAACAGACAGTGCCAATTTGATGCGCAAATGTCTGCGAATCAGATTAATCCAGTAACCACATGAACAGGGTCTTCTATCTTGAGCTTCGGTGACCTACAATAGGCCGGGGAGGGGTCTTGGAGAAAAAATCTCCGACGCTTAATTACTCGCACATGAGAATAACTAAAGCATTGTATGTGTGTATATGTAAAATATGTGTTCTATGCAATAAAGAACCTGGTCACCTTTTATATACTAGGGTGTCTTGTTACCCAAGTAGAATCCTCTAGAAAAGAGATCCAATTGTATCCACTTTCCTAGCTTACCACATCTTGAAAATCTTAGACTCGTTAGCAAGATACACTTTCCATTCTTGAAGAACTCTGTCCACTCTTACCATACGAATCTTAGGTCCTTAGGTTATCTGAACAACCTCGTAACTACCTGTTGCAAGCTTTGACCAGGTCATAATCACAACCATTACCTTCATGACCTTCAGGTCGTGAAGTTCCTTCATACATCTGAGCTCCCAGAGTAGCCTAACCTCACCTGTTAATTAGGGTGATTTGTACCTTCATGAGTTGCCCAAGAGATCTTCTTGACGAGGTCAAACGCTGATATCGAGTTTGAGCTCCCTAGACCAGCAACACCTATGTTGAATCACTCAGGTCGGGTTGCCGAGCTATTTTGTGTGCTATATCGGTATAAATTATTAGTATCGTTATAGATATTGTGAAGTTTAATAGTTATATGAAATAAACTATAAAACAGTGAGGTAATTCATTTCATTTTTAGTAAATTTTAAATTATGGGTTCCTTCAATTATTTATATTTACGTAATTCATTAAAAAGTAATTAAANATCAACATTAGATATTTTAGTGGGCTAAAAATTTAATACTTCATGATATTTAATGGTTCATTTCAGTTCATTTATTTAAATTCTCTCAAGTGAGAGCCCCGATTTTCTCAAGTGAGAACCCTAATTATCTTGGGTAAGATTGGTGAATTTCCGTTTGTGTCAATTGTTGGAGTGAGCTGCAGTGTTTGTTTCAAAGACTTAATCGATGGCATTCAGAGAAGGTAAGAGCCCTATCAAAGATGATAGAGACGACGAGCTAGAGAACCATCTGAAGAATATTTCGCTCTCCGCTGCTGAAAATTCAATTGTTGACATAGCGTCAGAAGATATCACATTTAGTGAGGAGGAGTGTAAATAAAGCCTCTTCGGAAAGATTTTAAGGGATAGAAAAGCCAGCCTCTTCGGGATAAAAAAGACGATGGGTCAAATCTGGCGTATTCAAAAAATAGTCGAAGTCAGAGAACTTGGAACAAACTTCTTCCAATTTATCTTCAACCATAAGGAGGATTTGAAAAAGGTAATTTCAGGAACCAACTAAATTTGAAAATCAACTCCTAATTCTTCAGGAATGGAAAGAAGATATCAGGAGTACTCATCCTAGTTTTGATGATCTGCTACTCTGGGTTCAAGTTTTCAATGTACCAATACACTGGATGACTGCTGAAGTTGGACTCAAGATTGGAAAAGTGTTTAAGAGCGTGAGGAATGTTACTATTACTAAAACGATCATTAGATGAGATAAAAGAGATACGCTGTAAGAACACAAAAACACTCTCTAGCTT